ATTGATGGAACACCCACAACTTCTGGAAGTTATAGATCAGTGATGGCTAACCTTTTCCACATTGCATGCCAAAGGTGTACGCACTTGTGTGCCTGCACCCAGGACGCAATGCATGCACTGACTCCCCACTCCTCCCTGCGCATGTGCACCTGACCCCCCCCTCTAAATTCTGTGATAATCCATAACCGTGATGGCAAACCTATGGCACGCATGCCAGAAGTGGCACACTTCTGCCAGCACGTGAGAGGTCACCCGGAAGAGCCCCACTGCACATGCGTGCGCACCCACTAGCCAACTGATTATCGGGTATCTGCTGTGCATGCCGAGACGTGTGCATGGGAGATACATGTGCAGAGGCATGTGGCTTGTGGGGGGTTTGTGTGTGTACTGCGCGCCTCTGCACATGTGCATGCAAACCCCCCGCATGCCACATGCCTCTGCACATGCATCTCCCACATGCGCATTTCCCCCCGAGCATGCACGGCAGATACCTGACAATCAGTTGGCTGGTGGGGGGCGCACACGCATGCGCAGTAGGGCTCTTCCAGGTGACCTCTTGCATGCCGGCAGAAGTGGCTCTGCGTGCCACTTCCAGCATGCATGCCATAGGTTCGCCATCATGGTTATAGATTATCACAGAGTTTAGAGTTTCAGAAGCTGGTTATTCCAGAGCTTACTAAAAAGAATTGAATGTGATCACACCCTGGTAGATTTGTAGGCTTTTCACGGTAGGGTGAGCCTTTCCCGTTGCCACATAATCATAGAAACTGATTACTCAGAAAGGCTTTCAAATTAAAATGCCTTGGCAAGCCTGGATGCTACATCTTGAGGAAGAAAAGCATGTACCTTGTTTGACAGCCTAAAAGCTGGTATCCGTTTCCTATCCTTCATCTTTTTAAAGAACACTTGGCCTTGTACAATATATTAGACTGCACAGTATATACACACTGTACAGTATATAAACTCACACCCTTCTTGTGTTTGTAAGTGGGTAGAACTATGAAAAATGTACCTTCATATTGAAGCAATCCAGAGATAGAAACAATTCAAGGAATATGGCATTGATTTTTACATGTATTTATTGTAGCTGCATAAAGTTTTGCAAATTGTTGTACACATAACTCAGGGGTGGGATTCTACCGGTTCGTACCTATTCGCTAGAACCAGTTGTCAACATTCTAAGCAGTTCGGAGAACCGGTTGTTAGAATAAATTCCTGGCCTAATTCTGTAAGGCAGGCAGGAAGGAAACATTCTGGTGTTGCTTACAGAAACTGCCTCTCTGTTACATCCTTGGCAGGACTAGACTTCCTGTCTCAGGAACTTTTCTGGAGTTTTTTCCCCCTCCTTTGCTGGTACTTTGCTTGTGTGGAGTGACCATTCAAAGTTACAATGGCACTGAAAAAACTGACTTATGACCATTTTTCACACTTACGACTGTTGCAGCATCCCTGCAGTCATCATAGGCCAGGCGAGGAGATGTGTGCCTTGATGTGAGTGATATTGAGTTGGCCGCGCCTAGCCAATAACATGACCACCAAGCCACACCAACCAACTACGCCATGCCCACAGGTTGTTAAAAAATTTGAATCCCACCCCTGACATAACTTGTGCAGTGTTGTCTTCCAAGAACCTCAGAACAGTTCGCCCATCAATTTTGATAATTTCGCATTCCTATGTGCCTATCTTTTACTTAATGCCTTGCTGTGATACTATTTTCATACACAAGAAAAGGATGTCTCATATACAAATTTCCACAAACCATACTACCTGAAATAGATGAAAGTTTAAGTCAAAGCATCCAAGATCTCCAGATTGCCTGCCTCTGCATTAAAATGTATATTACTTACCAATTTAACCACATGTTATTGTTGGTGGAGACAAGAGAAAAAACCTGAGCAATCTTATTTAGGACATTTTGGGTACTGAAGTCCAACTCACAAGGTTGAGCAAGCTCATGTGGATTTTTAATTTAACTTCTAGAATGCTCCCAATACCCCAAGGACTGAAATTTGAAAAACATAGCTGCTTCTTTGAGTATCTCTCTATGTATATTAGAATCAAAATAGTCTACTTTCATCTTTGAGGGGAAACACCTGCATGATTCTAGTCAAGAAACAACAGGATGAGGATTCACAATCAAGTTAGAAAAACTGCTCTTGGCTGTTCAACCACAAACTCAACTTTTAGCCAGCTGTGTCAAATTAATACTACTAAGGCAATCTCTCAACAATAACCTAAGACAGCTTTCCTCAGCATGAATGGAACATGTAATGTCAAGCTGTATCCATGTTTGAAACTAAGCAAATTGGGATTTGGTCATTTCCTGGGAATTTTATGTATAACCATTTTGAGTTCCACTAGATGACTGCAGAGCAAAAAAATGGTAATGATGAAAATGTAACTGAACCAAAATGCATGAGATTTAACAATCTAGAACCAGTGTTCTGGTTGCTGCACTGTAAATTACTTGGTAGGCTCAATGGCTAATTTCCAACTACACAGCCCCATGGGACTCAGTCCCCGTGATACTATTTTCAAAAACATTGCTGATTGGATACAGACTGATATTGCATTCTGCCCAAGAAGTGATGCTGAGGGTCCCACTCTGTGTGAAGAGGGTAGAGACCTCTAACTTGCTAGGTTTCAAGAAGGGGATGAAGTTGTCTTCTTCTGGCAGGCACCAAGTCAATAGATGGATGTGCTGTGTTGCCTTTTTTCCTTCATCTGGTTTTGATTTTATGGGGTGTGAACTAGCCAGTTTGATGTAGTAGTTAAGGTACCAGGTTAGAAACCAGGAGACAGTCTAGTCTAGGGCTGTCAAACTCCCGGCCAGCGGGCTGGATGTGTCACATGCTGGCCACACCCACATCCAGTTTAGTGAAGGGAGGAAAAGTCCCAATATGTCACGTGATGCAGCCATGACAGCATGAGTTTAACACCCTTGGTCTAGTCCTATCTTAGGCATGAAAGCTGGCTGGGTGACTTTAAACCAGTCACTTTCTCCCAGTCCATGAGGTCAGACTCAGGTAAGAAGCCAATTGTCAATCCCGTTGCAACCCATGAATCAACACTCAGTTGGTGTTAAAAAAAAAAAACATGGACCCCGCAATTGCACGAAATCTTCTAAGAAGGAAAAAAATATTAGCTGGTCAATGAAGTTGGGACAGAATATGTGGCATTGTTTTATACATGTATGCTTATATAGTATTCACTTTAAACTTTTAGAATATCCAAAGCGGGTAAAACAGTAAATAAAATCAATTTAAAAATCCCTTCTTTTGAGATCTGCTGCTACTGCTGCCTGTCAATATAGCTTTCTTAGCAAAAATATTCCCTATAACATTCTTCACCATAAAGTAGCCTCCATCAGGTCCCGTTGCAACATGGGCACTGCAAAATTCATTCACTTACTATGATCTCAGGATTCTGTTGAAAGACCACAAATGCAGCTATGTTTAGATGGTAATTCATTTTTCAGTGGTTGCTCATATAAAGTTGGCCAGGAAAAGATGCAACTAAACTGCGGGACAGGCAAGAATCTGTTTTTCTATTTAAGCTAAGGTTGCCTACATACTTTTACTGAATTTGCATAAGAGATTCTAGTTAAGTAACTTCGTGTTTTCTTCTTGAGGGATGAAAATATTTTAATGTTGACTCCAAAGGTAGACTGCTATACAATAGTGACATTAAAAATGCTTTGAATTTGCTTACGGCTTTAGAATTCAGACAGAGTAAAGGGAGAGAAAGCAGGAGAGACAATAACAGCAGTTAAAATATAATTTTATTTTTCCTCATTAAAAACCAGAGACAGAAAAATGTTACAAAAAGTATTAAAGAGAAGCACTTCATCAGCGGTCATCTCAATTTCCAGACCTTCATCTTAGAGTATCATAACAATATCTTCTAGATCAGTCAGCACCCCCACCCCCCACACACACACTCAAAAAAAAAAAAAAACCCCAAAACATTCTGCAGTATCTATGGAACAAATGAGGGCAGTTTTATACGCATGAAAACACATTCCAAATTATCCTGACCATGACAGGTGCTGGTGGTTTGTAGGTCAAATCTAATCTGCCAAAACAGCAAACTCACATTACAGTTTGCCCTTATCATTACTATACGAAGGCCAAATCCTTTGGAATTATAGATTCTCAACATGTGCACTGACCTATAAAAACAATCATCTTTAGGATTAGAAGACAAAAGGGAACCTCCCTCCTTTAAAACGAGAAGAAAAGAACAACTGCTTTCAAAAACAAAAACTATTTTGTTGCATGTCAATTTTGAACTTATTCTCAATAAACCAATTAAGAATATCATCTTGTCTTATTTAATTAGTAGTGGTTTAAGAAGGATTGTGCCCATCCATCCCTGATTTCTTCTTAAATAGACTGATATAGCTAAGAAATAACTCGTGTATTCCTTTACTCTCATGCTTTTGCCCCCAGGTTTTATAAATCCAACATATTTACAGCTTGGATTAAAAACAACTGAGTTAATTCATTCTGATGAGGAAGCTTCTGGCTTTAAGATTACAATGATAAAAAGAATCTCTGAGCTGTTGCCTATTCCTCTCCCTCACCCCCCCATTTGAGCCATCTTCAACTTCTATAAGTCTACTTTTTTAATTGTAGAAGACAGCAAAAAAGTTTTCCAAACAGTGGTCAAGTTATAATTTTCAATATTCTTTAATTAAAAATATGTTACATAGGAGTGCTTTCTAGATTGTTCTTCATATGGTTAGTATACAAGTTGAGACTGAAATGTCTTTGACATATATAGAGAAGACAATATAGCACATTGTTAAAACTTACTTTACTATAAACCTCAGAATACACTATAGGCTTCATTGGATTAGCACAAAAACCTGACAAATTGGGCCAACTGGTTACATGAATAATTGGTATCTCAGGTGTCAATGCAAAGCAGAACCTAACACCAATGTGTAGAGAAGAGCTGAGCTTGAAATACATGGGTGCCTCTATAAAATACATGCCTGCTTTGCCCATTACTCCTACCAGCAAAAAAACCAAAATTAAAAAGACATGATACAAACACCTGTAAAGTATTTCCACCCACATATGTATGTCTAACATAACATCCACCTAAACCAGTGGTTATGCATCAAAAGCAATTTATAGCCATATTCCTGCCTTCTGTGTTACCATCTTATGACTAAAAGCTGTTTACAATGTGGGTGCTAAAAGGCATGTTATTGGATGTGCAAACCAATCATTGCAGTATTCATTCCAACTTCATTAAGAAAACATCATGTGACATTCACAAGGCTTTATAAAGGATGCCCAGAGGCATCAAAGCAAATTATAACTTCTCATTTATTCTTCTACCTGCAAATATCTATCCAGTTATAGAATATCCTATGGCTCTGTAGAGCTCTAATTCTATTTGTGCTGAACAAAATACATAGCTTTCTCTTTAACTTCATACTCTACTAATTTCAAAGCAATTCAGATACTGCACAGCTCAGTAAGCTTCTTGCTCTAGCCTTATAACTTGGTGGCACAAAACCAAGTAAGTTTACCTACCCTGGGAGATGAAGAACATATGTTTTTAGTCTTTCAGGACTCACTAAAAGCAGAGATCCTTCCAATTCCTGGATAAATCCTAGTCTACTGAACATTCCTACATAGGAGTAATTCTATTAGATAAAGAACAAGAAAGCAGCTTACAAGTCGGCATTTCATTGGCAGTTGCTCATTTATAATATTTTGTGAAGATGGTCTCAAGCTGAGCTCAACTCCTAGGACTGCATCCATGCTGTTTTCTTGGTGATGTTATGGAATTGGTTTATGATGTCCTTCCCCACTATGAGTTGAGATTTCTTTCCCATTTACCAATCCGGTTAACAACTTTGGACTGCTCAGGTGGTTCTACATATTAACCAGGCATTACCCAGCTTAGCTTCTGAAATAAGCCAAGCTTGGCTAAGTGCTACCACCCACTGAAGATCAGCTATAAGGGTAATGTGCTCACTCCATTTATAAGAAACCTGCCTTCTGTGAATCAATAGTATCTTGATAGTTGCATCGCAACTTATGTGGCTAGTTTGCTAAGTACACATAGATTTCCTTTCTGAAAATCTTCAGAAATTGTAATGGCATGTAAAACAGACAAGAGACAAGACACCAATCTCCTGACACCAAGGATCCTGGTACCTATTGAAAATATGTGCCCTCCATGTCCCGGGGCAGCTGATTGATATGATGATTCCTGAGACTTTTGAGTACATCTGTCAGTAGGCACATGATGGTTCTTCAACTGGAGCTATTGGGCTCAAAGGCTTCAAGGTGCTCAGGGATTGGAAGGCAAAAATTGATGGATCATACACAAAGTGAGGTGGGGGCCGGCTGCTGTTGATATGCTGCATAGAGGAGGAGAAGAACAGAGATAATTACCAGTGCCCATGGGGTGAATGTATGACAACATATTCATTTATTAAGCTACAGCATCACAATTGAGGTAGCTCAAAAGCTTAATACTGTAAATAATATTAAAATCAGATTGAAGAAATAGGAAAGCAGAAAATATGCCTTCAATACACTGTAATATAAATGAAGTCCTGACAGTGTGAAATCATGACTGCAAGTTAAGTTTTCTTATGCGTGGATGTTTGGTTTAAAGGGTACTAGGCACTTTACAGTACTAGAAAATTCCCTTCAGTATATTTGTATTTTTATACTTATTCAAGAAGAGAAAAGTAATTAAAGAATCGGGACTACAAAATAATTATTGACCCATCTTTCTATCCTACATTAGACCATCAAAACCATATAAAATCTTTTCATCAGTAATCTTCTCAAAAATTAATGTCTTTGCATAAATGCTTTCATTAATCTTAGAAGGTTGTGAAAATGAATTAACAAACTGTTTTTAAAAGTTCAGTTATAATGACTTAGCAGTAACAGCCTTATTAAAAATTCCAATAAATATATGTAAGTCTTGACAGAATGTTAATGGAGGGCTTGAAGCGGGGATATGAAGAGAATTGTAGCCCAGCCTATCTGAAGGATAGAAGAAAATAAGCTATTGCTTTTAGGTAGGTAGGAAGGTAGGTATGTGAAATTTAAAAAATCAATAACAACAATTACTAGAACAAAATTGTCAATCAAATATAAAGAGAAATCAAACTAAAACAACTCATCTCTCAATTTTTCTAAGAGTAATTTTATTCCACAAAAGCTGGATTGGCATCAAGCTGCATTCTTTGAAGAGAACTGAACTCTGGTTATAACCAGATTAGATTTTAAACACTTTGATTGTTCTTTTTCTCTTTTCCTACTTCATGACCAACTTAGCACACAACTTTCCAAATGCCAGGGGTTTGCTTATTGCATTTTGGATGGCTAGTCTTTTTATAACAGATTTGGATTTTCAACAAACAATTAGCAGATGTTTTGTCTAGATGTTTTGTCTCTTACACTTCAGGGTCATGCTGTCATGAAGTGGTCACTGTATCCAGGATTTCACTCCTTCATCAATGCATATTCCTTAAGGGATTTTGATTTAAGAAATCATGAACTGAAGGCTTCTGTACGGCTGAGCCAATGAAAAGGGTCATATCTTTTTGTCTGATAGAGAAAGGTCCATCAGATCATCTGCAACATTCTTTCTTTCATAATCTTGGAAATAAGGCAGGCATTTTATTTTTATAGAAGATACAACTCAGCAGTTTGGCAGCCTGGCCAAACTGCCTGTCTAAACATTCTTATTTACAATATAAAAGATACTGCCTGCATGCATGAACTTTAGATATTTTTACTTAGCTGTAGCTAAGAGGCTGCTTCCTAATGCAATACGATCATTACTTTTGAAGAAAAATGTTGTGGTGTTATTGATTTGACTTGTGCAATAAACCTCAGCAAGAGATAGGATAGATAGACTGAGTCAAAGCTGGAACAGTCATGCAAGACGCAGTGTCCATGTATGCAGCATGCAGAGAAACAAACTTGTTGATCTGTTGCAGCAAAATAGAGAATCTTCTAGCACTTTAAATCTAATTGATTTGTATAGCACAACATTTTTCATGGATTGGAACTCACTTCATTCTATCTATAAAATACTTTCCTTAAAAGTATTCATATAGCTAACTAGTTCTGGCATAAATGGTTATATATACAAACATGTATAAATGCATTTCTTTATGAACCCATTAAAGTCTTTTAAATAATGGTTGTTATATTATTTTAAAAAGTTTCCTTTAAAAAAAAAATACATAAAAGCATGCTATTGGACATTATTGCTAGGACTGCCTTATTCTAATTTGCCCCAAAGTGCTACAATTCTTCAAGTTATAATTCTAATAATATGTAATTATAAACGGTGACTGTAAAGTAAAACTCACAAATACATTAGTTAGCATTTTATGAATGTTTACACAATCATTTGGTTTTGAGACCTACAGTTGATTTTTTTTCTCTAATGTTTTTTTCCAAATATGTATATTTGATATGTGCAAACTTTTGCAGTTATGTTATTTTGATTCAGTTTTGCCAACTGTGTCTGCAATTCTGCCTATCAGTTAATCTACAAACACATTTTCTGAGAAAAATAAAATCTTAATAATATGGATGTTTTTAAACACAAATGCACCAGAAGGTAGCATAATGGACAACTAAGTTATCCATTCTCTCTCTAGGGTTTTGAAATAAAAATGAATGTTCCTGTTTTAAAAGTCACAAAAGTAATTGGTTGTATATTCTGAGGGTCAATATAAGAGCACATTCTTTAGCAAGCTGAATCTGCTGGACAGAGGGACAAATTAAGCAATCTGAAATCTAAATAGTTGAGACTGAGTAATCAAATATTGTGATATTCTCTTATCCAGTTTTATATCATGCAGAACTTCTGACAGCAGCGAAGGGTTAACTTTTGATTTGTTTATACCTCTTATAGCTATCTTAATACAGGTACTTCCTAAAACTTAGATATTCCCCCCCACATTATGTGTTTCAATCTCAAGTGACATATCTGACTATCAATATTTTGCATTTTATTCTCTGTAATTTTAAGTAATCAGTCTAGTTACCCATAGCTGTTTTTAGATTCAAAATAAGAAAAAGAGTGCAATAAACAATATTTTAAATTGAGAAGTTCACATTCCTGGACAAATTGCTTTTATTTCAGCCTCACCAATTGGCGCTTCAGCAAACAGATGTTTCATTTCTTGTCAAACAAACCACTGCAGTTCTTCTATGCATGAATGTCTGCAATGGCAGCCATGACACTTTCTCAAATATAAAAACATTGGAGACTTCTGCTATAAAAAGAGTTTTCTACTCTTTGTGAAACAAGTAGTATTATTTATCCCTCTCTTATACTGAGATGGGTTTCAGCACTATCACACAAAACCTTTGTTATAAAGCAAAACATTTATAGCACAAAATAATTTTAACATGAAGGGAATTTCTAACAAAGATGCTTCATTCAGATAACAAATAGATTAAGATGAACTTTCCATTTCACTTGGACAGTCGAGTTCTTCTTATTTCCCATCTTTATGGTTTGTAACCTTTTTTAGAAAAATAATTCTTTCAGCTACATTTTTCTAAAAAATAAGGACTTTTGTACAGAACACTATTTAATATATGGATTTTTGCAAACTACTGTCCTTACTAATATATATTGCTGTGTTTGTGATGTTGTGTAAGGCTTTGTTGTTTAAAAAGATCATGATTTTGCATACCAACTCCATTTTGGTTCATACTTTGGCTCTGGAAGGACAAGTTAGGGCAGTGTGCAGACAAATGTAAATCAAACACATTTTTCTCCCCCCCCCCCCATGCCAAGGTGCCAGCTTAAGGGAAAAGAAACTAGTGCTCAGCCTAGAAATTAACCAACTATAGCTCAGTTTCATGAAATCATATCCAACATCCTCCTACACAGCCAGAAGGCTTGGCTAACAGCAAGAACACAGCAGGAGAGGCATATTTTAAAAAGTCTCCATTCACCAGCCGCCTGCTGTGGCATTATGGATGGTGTGTGCTCTGGCAGGCCTCAGAATTGGAGGCTAACATAGCAACCTTTATTTAGAATTAAAGGGGCAGAATTAATCAGACAGATTTGTCCTTCCCCGTGCAAGGAAACTGCTTGCCAGTACTCTACTGAGAGGGAGGCAAGGAAAGTGGACAAAGAGTTTGGCACTTCTCTTCAATGAGAAATGCCAACCAACAGGATCGGTGAACAAACAGCAACTGGAACTTTTGGCTGCAGGCAAGCAATGGAGCTAATCCATCAAGGAAAGGGAGAAGAGAACTTAAAACTCCCTAGCATAGCATTGCAAGAGTAAAGACAGGGTTGGAGTTTTTATGGGGTCATATTAATGGAAAACAAAGATTTCACAGAAATATGGCTCACTGGACAACATACCAGTTATGATGAAAATATTCAAGTATGGAAAATCAAAAAATGTTGGATTATTAGTTGGCTTGAAGCATTCCATGGCTTCAAAATTTTGACTTTGTTTTGTAGGTACCACACTGATCCATGAAGGTTGCATGAGAAATATATCGAGTATATCAATATATAGTATCAAGTAAAGAAATACATCAAGTAATATTCCAAGTATATATTTCCTTAGATGCAGTCATTTAACATACCCCAGTTAGACATAAGATAGGTTTTAGGGCAAGTCACAAGAAGTCTTTCAAGAAGATGATGGATAAAAGTAAGAAATGTACCACCTGCAAGGTTGCTCCTCTGCTTTGGAACTGCCTTTAGCCCCTCTGTTGGCATGCTAGAAATACCAAGGCAAAGGAAAACCTCTCAAATGGAGATGTAACTAGTCTGTCCTGGAAAGAAGAAATGATAGAAGAGAATATATGTGGTTCAGGGTTGGAAGTGTGGAGTTCTTGGTTGCTCTCTGAGTGTACCTGTCCACTTTCAGACGTGGAGCAAATCTCACTATTATTCACACTGGTGATGTTGTTTACCAGTTGAGTAAAGTAACAAACAGCCAAGCCAAACTCAAAAGGCACCAAAGACTCTGCAAGAAACAAAACAATAATTTCCTACTTTGCATGCCCTATTCATATGATTTGTGTATATGAAAAAGATTATTTCTTTCCCTAAATATGTATTCTTTTAAATGATAAGGGGTGAAATCACAAAGAAAGAGAGAGGAGATGGTAAAAGGAATTTGAAAGTATCTTTGAGTTTCTTTGGATGTTTTGCTAACAGATCAAAAGAAAAGATTCCAACTGCTATCAGAATGCATTATGATCTTATTTTATTTTTCTCTTTTTAATGGATTTTCTTCCTGACTATAATAATAATTTTTTTAAAAAAATTGAAGGAGTGGTAGAAAACAGTACAATAACTGAAATAGAAACAAGTATTCAATGCCCCTTTTAAACCTTGGTGAAT